CTATTTAAACATCTATATCAATATTTTCTTTCTATATACTTATTTCAATATTTTATGTATCAATCTACCTCAATATTTTCTTTCTATTTACTTATGTCAATATTTTATCTATTTATCTATCTACTTCTCTATTTAAACATCTATCTCAATATTTTCTATCTACATATCTATTTATACAGCTATCTCAGGCGTCATATCTACGTACATATATGTATACATATATAAACATAGGAAAATATATAAATTTATTGACATTGATTTCGTGCTTTTAGCATCATTAAAGTAAGTATGTACATATATATATACATGTTTATTTTAAGATTTTACTTCAAGTAATCTGCGTCCGTAAACAAAAACCTGAATCTAATTGTATTTCCTACATGAACAAAACTTTTTTTTTTAAAGAAAAAGAAATTCCATTTCAAATGATTCGCTGGCCACATTTATCAGATATAACTTATTGACTGGCTTATCAGACGCGCCAAAATACAAGAATCCCCCCAAAATGTCTAGTTCATGGCGTTTTCTCTATTATTAGGCGTCGGCCTCTAAGCAAAAAAATATTCCGCCGTCAAAGTCTAAAGTTATATTTAAAGAAAAAGAAAGTCACACGTCTACAACAAAAGAGATTAGAATTTATTAATCATCCAGTGACAGAGAATAAAAATGGAATACCTGAATAGATGTTTCTTTTTAAAAAAGATTCAACTCAATTACTCCACCTTTGAGTTTCGCAAAGACATGCAGAGACGATCATTCTTTTTTGGAGAAATATCCGCATACCCTTCACAAATAAAAAGGAACGAAAGATGTAAAATCATTTTTCGCGACATATTATATTTATAAGGCTAACAAAAAACATGAAAACACCCATACACAACTATATACATGCGTTCACTATATATATATATATATATATATATATATATATATATATATGAAGAAAAATATACTGAAAAAACAAAAAAAATCCTAATATGCGATTATGCTGTTTTAATGTTTAATGTCAACGTCGGACGTTTCGGTCTAATAGACCATCTTCAGGACATATTCATAAAACATAATTAGCATAGACCATATACAATTCAACATGAAAAAGACGATGGACATAAAAGCAATACCAATCCAAACAGATAACTAAAATCTTTTATAAAAGATTTCAGTTATCTGTTTGGATTAAAACCGCATATTCGCATATTAGGATATTTGTTTGTTGTTTTCAGTATATTTTTCTTCATACTGTCGGATCTATATCCATATATTTGCATATATATATATATATATATATATATATATATATATATATATATATATATATATATATATATATATATGTGTATGCATATATATAGTTGTGTATCAGTGTGTTCATGCTTTTTGTTAGCCATATAAATATAACATGTCAATCAATCAATCAATCAATATATATATATATATATATATATTGATTGATTGACATGTTATATTTATATGGCTAACAAAAACTACCGCATATATAAATTCTTTATTAGAATAAAAATAACAAAATGAGAATTTCTTACCCAATTTCTGATATATCCTGACGGGTGGACAGAACGAAACTTCGTAAACAAAACTTTTCGTAAACGAAACATTTCGTCTACGAAACTTCCAATTCGAGATACTGAATATAACATCAATCATCTAAATGACACATTTTATTTGTATTCATTATATCTATCTATTTATCTATCTATATGTATGCGTGTGTGCACATGTTTGATTAAATACCAATGAAAGTTTGCTGTTATGTATATTTTAAACTATTTTTTGCATATTACGATTAATTTTCCCGGTTTCCATTATATATTTAAATATACATTTTCCAATATCTGAAAAATACCGGCTCTCATAACCCATTAAACGCATCATTTTTTCTTTCATATGCGATGCCAGTGTCATTATTTTTCAAATATCGCCTCTTCGCGTCTAGTACTTTAATATATCGCTACTTCACGCGACGGTTCTCTTTATATCTAATCCTGAAGATATGTCCACTTAATCTCTAAACTTGCCTTTGAAGAAAACAACAGTCAAAATGGACCTATTTTCTTATGTTCGTTTTTACATTTGCAAGGAAAAGAAAAAAAAAACAGAATTGAAGCTTGTATTCCCCGAGCCTCGCCTGTGTGTCATGAGTGAAAACCCCCGGAATGTTGTTACCCACCAGGTTTATAATTCTCGGTCAGACGATCTTTATGCATGAGGGCATAACATGCACAAAAGTGTTGTTGGGTAAATAGAATTTTGCTTGGAAGTCCGCGTGTTTGCAGTTCTCCGGCAAATAAACGTTTCTGAGCAGTCTCTGTTGACACTCCTGATCTTGACTGGACACGCGTGAAATATGTACTTGTAATACGTACTTATATAGAAAACAGACGAAAGTGAAGGAAATGCTTGTTTAACGACTATTACTACTACCAAAACCACAAAGAAACACGCAACACACACGCAAACATACACACTGACAAACACACACATATAAATATACACACAGGCTCACTAACAGATAGACAGGCAGACACGCCCATATATATATATATATATATATATATATATATATATATATATATATATATATATATATATATATATATATATATGGCTGTATGGATATATGTTTGGCATGTCTGATTGAATAAATTACAATTATGTTTGCTTATTTTTATCATAATTGTTTTGTCATGTACACGAATATTTTTCCGTATATTACAATTAAATTAGGCAAGAAGTGCACTGTAATAGTATTTAGTTGTAATATATGGAAAACTATTCGTGAACATGAAAGGGTTATGATAAAAATAAGCAGACATAATATTTATAATTTATATAATCTGACAGCCCTAAAAGAGAAGTTGCTGCCTAAACACACACACACACACACAAACATATAAGGTGTTGTTTTGATGTTATCTGGGGAGGCGTTGTCAACGTATGCCACCTTCAGAATGTGCCTGAAAATCATACAAGGTTTTCTCCCACGCCTTGAGAGTGGAATTGAATAGGCTGAACTTTCTGTAAGCCTTCCATGATTTGATAGCATGGAGTCTAATCTCATCTTTACAGCGGGCTTTAGCATACTGACCTTGTTCAAACTTTTCATCATGCTACAGTATATGCTCTCTCCCAGAAACTGTAAATAATGCCTTCCCAGTATAAACCATAGAATAGTTCAGTCGGCGTTTAATAAACACAAATGTGCCTGAACAGGTTTCTGCCAACAGATTTTTGCGCAACTAACCGCGCAGGTATAGTATAACACACACACACACACACACATATACATATATATATATATATATATATATATATATATATATATATATATATATATATATACAGTTTCGTGCAAATACTATTGGCAAAGGTCTAATAAATCCATCTCTTCTTCCCCTTCTATGGCTTAAATAGGACAGACTAGGTTCATCATTATTGGTTGCCAGCCAGTTTAGGAGAAGTAAAACTTTGAAATTAAATCCGTTTGAATTGCTGTCGAAACATGTATTATGCTGCTAAGGAAAAACAGCAGAGTTTAAAATGAATCTATGATCATGTCTAATGTCGTTTAATCAATATGTAACGCATACACACACGTGTGTGCGAGAGAGAGAGAGGCAGAGACTCTGTGTGTGTGTGAGAGAAAGAAATATAAAGAGAGATAGTGGGTGTAACGTGTGTGAATGTGTGAGAGAAAAATGCGACTGTGTGTGTGTGTGTGTGCGTGCATGAAAGACACAGAGAGAACGAGATAATTTGTGTGTGTGAGAGAGAAAGATAGAGTGTCAGTGAGTGAGTGAGTGAGAGGGAGTGGTGTGAGTGAGTGAGTGAGAGGGATGGAGGTAGAGAGTGACAGAGAGGCGGGCACTTGTGCGTGTGATTTTGGTCCAAATGTCGGAAAAAGAACATGTACATCAATAATAATAATCAAATAAAAATCTTCTATCATCACTCATACTTCCAGGTATAATATTCTTTCATTTGTCTCACTAAATGCGTTATACTGTCACTATCAACACTCGCTTCTTGCTCTTCCCATATATACATCTCGACCATTGCCTTCTTTAGTTTATTTTTTGTCTTGAATTATTTCCTCGTTAAAAATTCCCATTTTAATTTTTGCTTTGCCCAAGTATGATGAGCCAATACCACAACCTATCAAAATACCTGCTTTTCTCACCCATTGCGCCATCTTGCTTTCAGGCCTTTTAAAATTCAAACCAGTTTTGAAGCTTATCAGAAATTTAACTTTCCACTTTCCTTTCCAAAGTTTGACGATTTTTACCGTTACCCATATAGCATCCATGCTTTTTTCTCCCAATTTTCATTCACAATGAGCCAATCTTCATCTAAGCATAAATATTTAGATTTAAATACAATATTTTTCTTATGTTAATTTGCTAAGTTTAATCTAGACTGGCTTAACTTATCAAATTCAGTGTTCAAAATGAAGATTAAACTTTCAAAGTATTAATGGTTTGTTAAACAATTCGTTTACCATTACCTCAATATGTGACATTTTTCTCTTAAGATGCACTTGCACAGGCACCAAAAGACAATTGTTCATAATTATGAAGCGACAGAAAGAAGAAAGACCATGACATAGTAGAATAAATTTATTAAAATCTATTAGATTTCTTTCAAATATCTTTATGATATTGTTAAAAAAATATCCATCATAATCTATTTTCTTTCAGAACGAATGATCTTGAAATAATTTTGATGTAATTAAAATGATTTTATCCTAAATATAATCATACAGTTTACAATATATATCCAATAACACATATCAATGGCGTTAACGTGACCGCTTTCAATCTGATAAAGGGATTGAAAAATTCTACCGGACTGGTGGCAGTAGTCCTTTACCACAAGCGATTCGATAATAGCTGGCTCCTTGAAAGTGGCCAAGTGAACATCAGAAACGACGATGCAAGCTCTCTACGGAACCAACGAAATTACTAACTGTGATATCACACTAAAATATGTCTTGTTTTTGGGTGTCGTCAGATAAATTATCTATTTTATACCGACTAATATGTGCCAATGCCTGTGCTAAACCTATCATAAACTCTGGGTGGGCGTGTGTTTCTTAGCAGCGTTCTGTGCTTTCCTATATGGTCACCATAATGCAGGAGTCACTGGCTAAGATTATGTCTAACACAGTATATGTTTTTTTCGCGTAGCTGATTTGAATTCCCAAGATTAGTATGTCGTATCTAAGCGGTAGCATAATACGAAGGATAAAATAACAACCACTAAAGTCGAGGGGAGGGTCTATATGAACGAAACCGATCAATTGCTTCCAATAACTTATCAACTCTCGACTCATGTTAGAGAGCTGTTTTATCGAATAGCTTTCTGTTTTATTTATTTATTTATTTATTTATTTTTTTTTAGTGATAAAAATAATATTAACTTTCTTATATAATAGTTATTTTTTTAAAGAATTTTACACCAAGCAAGGCGGGAGTGCCACCTTCATGCAAGGGGTTACAGAGAGTTGGAGCAAGAGTAAAGAGGGTTGTTTGAGAAGAGGATAAAGAAATTTGCGCAGAATAAATCACTGCCTCTGGAGATGTCGATTGACATTCCATTTGAATATCTGGAGATCATAGTTATCAGGGGAGCAAGTAAGAGGAAAAGCGTTCCACAGACGGGAAGTGCGAAAAAGGAAGCTATTGGAGTAAAAGAGACGGATACACTTAAACGTTTCGACGGAGAAATGGTGGAATTGAGATCCCAACCTAGTAGCACGATTAAATTCATGTAGATTGGGAACTAGCGAAATTGTCTCGTCGGAACAGTTACCGTGAAATTATTTGTAGAAAAGACTGAGGGAGGTGACGGCACATCTGTGAGTGAGAGACTGTAAACGAGATACCAGATCAGGGCCAACAACATTGCATATTCATGTCTGGATTTTTTCGAGGATCTTAAGACGAAGAGCGATTCAATATTTTTATATTCTATTTGTAATATATTCTCAACTATCTGGTGCTTCTCTTTATATATTGTACCATAACCATTAAAGGCGCTACGATTGCTACAGCCCTGTTTTGTTGAATCTTAGAACTAAGCTGAAGACCTCTTCGACATAGTCTGTGATAATGCTATTATTATTGCCATTAATTTTAGCAATAAATTGAAACAAAATATTTGTCGTTTTTTTCTTCTGTCAAAACATAACTTTCTAAATCATGAAATTAAAATGATATTGTAATGACAAAAGTACGCAGGTTTAGGCCTTAAGAAAGCTTTATTCAACTGACAATACAAGTTTTATAGTTCCAGTAAATTGAAATAGCTCTTTCAAATAGGAGAGTGGCAAAACAAGGGGAGGCCACTCTTGATTATTATATATATTTTATATATATATATATATATATATATATATATATATATATATAATATATATATATATATATATATATATATATATATATAATATAAAGATAATTCTAATATAACAAGATAAAAGCAAAAATAAATAAATAAATGTGTTTAAAATTAAAGTAAGGAAAAGATGAATTAATGTTAAATTTTTGTTGGTGTTAGAAATGAAATATACTCTCAAGAAGCTTTAAATCGTGATACTTGATAAGCAATTCCTTCCCTTTTCAGCACCTGATCTAGACCTACAAACGCACTATTTTTATTCTATAACGTGATGTTTAATCGAGAGAATTTCAGTATTGTCTTCAAACGTCAAGCGAGACTTACACTTGCAAGATAGAAAAGGCAATGCATATCATTGTTGACTTTGATAAAATCCGGTCATAAAGAATAGCTTTTTTCCGTTCTCAATTTTCCAACTTTGTGACAGGAGTAGTATCGCTCATTGTGAACTTGTTGCGTGCATAAAGGAAAAAAAAATATCTGCATGCTGAAATGTCTGCAGTAATTAAATTTAATTACTGAAAGGCATGCAAAATATTTTTAAAATTGTTTTATTTCATTTCTTTTTTTTTTTTTTTAGAGAAGATTTTTGTATTTACAGATTTGTCCAGATCAGCCTAAATGTTATGTATTTATTAAATTATATTCTTTGATTTATTTGTTTACCATGGATCTTTGCAAACAGGTGCCGATTTGGGAGATTTTATAAAAAACATTTAAAATATTTAATACATTATATTTACTGTGGTTCGAACAATTGTATTCTTGAAATTCCTTATATCAACCAGTTTAATTTTAACGCGTTTTCGAATTTAAAAAAAAGAAAAGAAATAATACTATAATCATCCAATGTTTCCGAATTTTTAACAAGGTAATGGTTTTCTCTCAAATGCCTTCTGTTTGCTGAAAAGATTTAGTAGATGAAATCTTTTATTTCGCCTGTTTTCCCTAATTTTTAAAATATTCATAACTTTCTTTGTTGCTTTAACAATATTTTTATTAATGGAAACATTTTGATTTTGTTTATTTGGGCTTAACAAAGAGAGTTTATGTCAGATAAAGCACGTTTTAGAAGTATATGAAACTATTTATGTGATGGTTACAAACACACTTACATGCACATATAATTATTATTATCTCTCTCTATATATATTTATCTATCTTAGAAGATTAAAATAATTATACGGTTTATTCACTTCTATCTGAAACAACTTGAAAGTATTTGAAATTTAACTACATGGTTATCAATCTTTAAAGACTTCACATTCTGGACGCTGCTACGTGTTTTCATTTCACATTGTAGGGAGACAGTAATTGTCATTTGGATTTGGCGGTGGGGCTTTTGACATCGCGTGTCCGTTGGTCACATGTCATATGTCACATGACAATTCAGCTCCTTTAAGAAAACTTCTTTTAGGAGTTTGCTTTCGTTCATTGAACATTTTGCATCTTCTCACGCATATGTGCCGAACGGACATTTGTCTCCTCCTTCGGCGAGGAAGTTTATTGCACCTCATCAAGAAAACCAGAAGACATTTTGTGTTTATCTTTTATGTACATCAATCAAACATGCTTGTTCTTGGATCAATGTGTAGATACATCTGTTTCGGGCCACATGCGATTTATTGTAAAAAATTTTGTACTTATATATTTTAATTGCGCACGGGTGTTTATCTCGTCTTTCATTTCTGTTTATTTAGTGTTAGTATATCAATCGATTCACAAATGCTAATATTAGTACCTATTGAGTTGGAAACCAGCAAATATCTTCCTATGCGGATTGCTGGAAAAATACAACTGACAAATAAAACTATGCTAATAACACCATCGTTATGATAGTGGCTAAGCGTAGTGGCACAAAATGCGATTGTTTTCGACGCTTCTCAGATGATTTATGGAGACTGTACGAAAAAGAAATGAATTTCGAATTCGACTGCAGGTTATGGTATGGCTACTTGCAAAGCAACTGACCTCGAGGAATTGAGTTGTATGTTATTTCCAGCCTCTTGGTTTCAATGCCGAAGTTTGATTTCGAGATCATCTGTTTTCGCGCCTCCCCTCTGTGGCAAGATGTGAAACAATGTTTTTAATTTGGGGTATCCACACACGTACATATTAGCCAAGGAAAAATTGAACAGTTCATGCAACCAATGTCAGCATGACGTAAGTTTCCACCAACCCTCTTAATTAAGTACAATGTAAAATGTGCGGCCGCAAGTTTGAAATCTTCATGACCAGGCATTTCTCAAAGCATTTCTTTGTACTGCTTGAAAACAGAAACAAGACAGAAAGGGAAAGAGACCTGACAGAGATGTGAATGACCGATACCAAAGGCAGTGGAATGTGTGCTCAGATCGTGTAGTTTTTCTGTTTTTTCCCAGTCATTTACTTCCGAAATAATTTTTAAAAAAAAACTACAAAGACAAAGAAAAAATTCTGAGAAAAAAAAAGGCATATAAGCAGAGACAAATTTGTAAAAGAATTTACAAATTGATATTTTAATAAATACTTGATGAAAGAATTCCGATTTAATATATTACAAATTTTATTCTGGCATCAACTCTCTTCTTTTCTTTGTGTCACTAACACGAAACTTAATGACATTTAACTTTTGTTCTTTCAACTCACAGCAACACCTGTCTAATATTCACGTCTTTCTTCTAATGGTTTTGTTGTTTTTTTTTATCTCACATTTTCCTCTCTACTAACTCCAGTTGCTGCTTGCCCCGCTAACACATACGGATGGGACTGCTCTAAGAAGTGTTACTGTAAAAAACCTTCAAATTGCCACAGATTCAGCGGTCCTTTGCCATCTTGTGAATGTCAAGATGGCTATTTTAACAGACCTAATTGTCAAAAGGGTAAGAAATTTATGTTACATGTGGCCAGAGAACATTTAAAAAAGAATAGTTATTGTCGTTTTTATTATTTCTATTTTTTATTTTTTAAAAATTTCTATTTCTTTCTTGGTATCTATTTATTTATTTGCGGAGTTGGCTAAATATTTGGGTATCTACAGATATTTGTTAATAAACAGAACATCGCTCTATGGTAATTTTAAAACGGATTCATAATTTCAACAATAATACTTTCTCCATGTTGTCTCTAAAAGCAATTTTATTTATTTAGCTGTTTAAATATTTCTAGGACAGCAAAGACTGGGTCAATATATTGTTGGATCGCTAAGTAGCGTTAATAGCTCTCACATACGGAGGTCGTCTTTAGTAGACGGTACTAACTAATTCGACTAAGGAGGCTTAAATGATTAAGCAGAACTTAATCTATAATCATTCCATTGGATCTTCATATCTATTTTCTATTCTATCTTTTTTTTATTTCAATATTAATATCCAATATTTTTTTCTATTTTCCATTCATAACTTTTGATTTTAATGTTATACATTTAAAAATTTACCAACTGTATTGGTCATATTTATAATTTTAGTAACTTATGTATATAATCTTTCTACAGTAACTTAAAATTTTATTTTTTCCAAGCAAAAGTTTTTTTTTCAAAATTGATATTATTTATAAACATTTAAAAATAAAGAAAAACACGAATAAATTTTGATCAACGAAAACTTTAAGTATAAATCAAATAGAATATTCAAAATGTATATCAGAATTATGCAACCGAATGATGGAAAACCTCCACCGGATGCTCGTTTCATTCCGTGAAGGTATATCGATATGGGTACCAGATTTCGCTAGCAGCGTCTGGGATCGCACAAGAATCGCGTCAACAGATTTCACCTGGAACTGTTGTGGTATGGAAGACCTAACTTCTTGTATTCGCCCTTCAAGTTCTTCCAAGGTCTTGAATTGATATAGTAGAATTGCTCCTTGAACCAACCCTAAAGAATAAGTTAAAGAGAGTTTATTCAGAACTCTTGACTGGCCACTAATACACAAAATATGGAGTTACTTTTCAATCACCATTTAAGTGTTTGAATACCATTCGAGATCGTTACCTTCATTTACACGCAAATACCATTGAGAGATGTATGGTACCATCTCTTCTTCCTCAGCTATGTCCTAATACCATGGGCAGATGTATGATACCATCTGTCCTTCCTCAGCTATGTTTTAATAACATTGGCAGATGTATGATACCATCTCTCCTTCCTCAGCTATGTTATAAATAGAAGGATTTCTATCTAGAAAAATCAATGTAATCACCATAAATAAAGTTTATGTAATATTCACTCCGCAAAAAGTATTCTTAAAATTCAAAATATATTTCAGCTTTAAATAAAGCATGAAAAAAGTGTAAAATAACAAACCATCTAATTTATAAAATGCGGAATAAGTTTAATATTTCAAATAATATTTACCCAATGAAATAAAAAGCTGCGTGGATAGAAATGAACAAGACAGTAAAGAGTTGATTCAATATGTGCGACACTAATTGTTGGATGTTTGCATAGCGTAAAATTGGCTTGGATTTTTCAGTTCAAATTCCAGCCGAAGGCCTTTCTTTCGCTTTAACAAATGTACGACATTTACGCACCACTTATTGGTTACATGAAATGAAAAATTTAAACTCTCTATAGTTGATAGTCAACCGGTCTAATACACATTTAATTTTTTTTTTAAAAATTGAGCAAATCACACATATGTAAATATATCGTAGCATATAATTTTGAATACAATTATAAATAAAAACGTCTTCCATTTTCATGCGTCTATAAAATACGATCATTGTAAATAAAAATATAATTTTAATTATTCTTTTATCACACAGAAGATTGGAACACGATATAAATTCGCTATTAAATTTGATTTCTTGATAGTTAATAGGAGCTTTATTCAAATGCTTCTCGGTTTATGTGTCGGAAACTTTCACGTTGTGTGTGATCAGGTTTCTACACAAATACCTATAACAATTAGCCAGTTTGTCTCTTTGCAATCACCCTTGTTCTATCAATTTAATTTAGATAGGTTATTCATTTCTTTCTCCCGTCTCTCTTGCCTTCAACAGATCATGTAAGTGTCACATTTTCTAAGCCCTCTTTCCCTGTTATATGCCCTAGAAAGTTCATCTTTTTTTTTGTTCTGATTATAAATATGTTATATTTTCTTTAAAACTCCGTCATTGCACATATATTAAGTCTCTGATATTTTCAACACCTTTCTGTATAACTACATTTATGTTGCCTCAAAACACTTATTTAAATAAATATGTTAAAGCATATTCGGCAGTACTGAACATGTAAAACATTTTCTGGATTCATAATAACACAGTGTTGTGCAATAGTGCAGAGTGAAATCCGAAAGTTCATTGGGAAAGAGAAATACGTCTTCCAAAAGTTGAGCAAAGTATTAAATAACAAGAAAATTCCGTTAGAAACAAAGAAAAGAGTACTGAACTGTTATGTAATATCATTCCTCCTATATAGCAGTGAGTACTGAAAAATATCCTCATAGATGAAGAAGAGACTTGATGCAAAAAATGTGGTCCTACAAAAGTAATCTGAGAATACCATCGGCTGATCATGCAGGAAGTTTTAGAGAAAATGGAAACAAAAAAGAAACACTTATATTTCACATCAGGAAGGGACATTTGATATTTGTAGGAGAAACGAGTAACGAGGGCAAGGAAAATTTGATACTCACAGGACAGATTGATGGAAGGAGAGACAGAGGAAAAAAACAAATGTATAACCTACCTAACGAGTTTGTGTAAATTGATGGTGGAACATGGGTTTAGGAGAGATATCAAAAATACAAAATTTATTAAGAACAAAGGACAGGAAATTTTAGAGGATTATAATCGCCAAGGTCCTGAAGGGGATCTGTATATAGATAAAAAAATGTTGTTCAAATCCCTCTTTTCTTCTTAACTTAATATAAAAATATTAACTGAATCCGTGTTTCAAATGTTAACAATGTAGTCTAGATTAATATGTTCTCATCATGTATTTCTCTTTCTTTTTTTTTTCAACAACTATAAATCATCGAAACGAAATAATCTTGCCAAACTGACAGTTACACCGCCGAGAATCGTTGATTTTAAGAACAAGCGAGTGAATCCTGGAGAACATACGACCTTCAACTGCACAATCTCAGCATTTCCGACACCGCGGCAAAACGATATTACGCTGGAAAGCACGTCCGGTAAGAAAGCAATCCTCAGGGAATCGAAAGTATTGCGGACGTTCAAGTACAGTCGGGCGAATATTTTCCACGTGAATTCAGTGGCCAAGGGAGAGAAATACACGTGTCTCATGAACGGAATCGCTGGGAAGACATCCTTAACTATTCCCGTAGATCTGTATGGTAAGTAAATCGTACTTTGTTTTATTCTTTTCAGTTTTTTTTTTTTTTTTAATTCCATATTGTTCTCAATTTTAAGTATTGGTAAAATGTAAAAACTGAATTATAGGGAAATGATGAAAAAAGAAAACAAAAAAAAATATGAAGCCATAGATAAATAATACAAATAGAAATTTGAATATCCAATATTTCCTGAAAATCATGTAACTTTTGTACCTTTAAAAATATATACAAGAAAGAGAAATATATAATTAAGAATAATATATATATATATATAAATGGTGGTCACAGATATCTTCATGAGAAATTGGAATTCTATTGAACTTGCGATCTCATATAATTAAAAAAAAAAAAAATTTTTTTTCATACTATACTAGTGATCATTAGTCGATTGATTACTTTCTCTAATATTGGGCTTTATTGAACAAAATAAAATGTCATGTTGACATTCAGAGTGATAGATTTCAAGAATATTCATTAGCTATATGCTTTAACTTCCAACTGTGAGCTCATTATAAACATGATAATTACCTAAAGCAATTTTAAGTGTTCAAAATAATTACTGCTATCCAATAGGCAATTTATATAAGAATTTTTAAGATGAAGAATTATTATTATTATTATTATTATTAATATTATTATGCATCTTTCAATTCACACTTGCATTATGGTGGTTATATTCCATCATAACGAAAATGTTTTATTATAACATCCATGTTTTATTATAACATCTCTCTGTAATAACATTCGCATATGTTTGACATATTAGACAGACATTATAAAGAAAACGGTTCATTCATACTTAAAAAATCTCTCATTTTTATTTCTTACATAGAAATATGCAATTTTAAAAATGAAATGTTACAAAGACTTTGCTAATATTTTACAACTACATACTTATATGTTGCCGTCTTGGGTATGGCGACAAACTACATCCGCGTCCTGATAAACTGCGTCCAACAGCAAGGCCTCTAATCAGGAGGTTTTGAAGGGAGTGGAACCACCTCTTAATTGCTGGTGTTCCCAGATCCACCCTCACCCGCGGTGGTAGCCCGTGTTAGTGTCCCAGCTGTGGGACCCCCAAACTTGGGTCGTAACACTATGAAAGTGTAAACATAAGTTTTAAAACTAGAAATGATTTTAAAAAAATCATTACCCACACTAGATTTTTGAAAAATAAATTTGAAAAAATAAAGATTACCAGAAATAGTATGTTGAAGCAAAAACATTAATACCTGAAATACATTTAAAACAAAACAATTAAAACAATTTTGCAACAGCGAATATCTGGGGACATTGCAACAGGAATATTTGCTGACGCTTTTCGCCGTTGTATTTTTCTTATTCGTGTCGTTACCAGCAACAGTTATTTTTGTTTTTTTTTGTTTTTGTTTTTTGTTTTTGCATCAAATAACCCATTGGGTGTGATATTGCCGTAAAATAAACCAAATCAAACGAAACTTATATGATGATGAACTATATAGTCGACATCAAAGTATAAGAATCCGCTAACCTCATTCAGTTTTTATGTTTATGTTGTATGTGACACTTCATTGCTGCTAGGGACCTGCATACATGGTAACATATTTTGCAACAGCGAGTATCTGGGGACATTGCAACAGGAATATCTGCTGACGTTTTTCGCCGTTGTATTTTTCTTATTCGTGTCGTTATGCACTAAAGCAGGAAGAGCCCTGTGCGCACGCACATAGATACGAAAAGTAAAAACAGTCGATAAGACGATTAATGAACACCGGAAGCCTATTTTCCATGCAGTCCCTTGGTTATTCAGGGCTTCCGTAACACAGTCTAAGAGGGTAGATGACACTTGAAAATCTCTCTCTCTCTCCACACACACACACACACACACATATATATATATATATATATATATATATATATATATATCACCTTATTTTAGGGTATTAACTTTTATATATATATATATATATATATATATATATATATATATATTTATACTCACTGTATTTTAAGGTATTTAAAAAAACACACTACACAAATGCAATCATGTTTCGATGTATATTAACACATCTCATCAGGCGTTAGTAAATAACTGGTTAGTAGACAATTTATTGAGTTTTATAGCAAATACAACTTCTTTTTCAGAGAAAAGGAAGAAAAGAGTAAGAAAGAAAGACACAAGTTATACTCTTATTTCCCGAGAAAAGGAAGAATAAGGAAAAGGAGTAAGAAAGAAGAGGCGGGGAGATAGCAGTAGGATTTGTTTTGTTTGATTGCATTTGTATAGCGTTTTTTATACGTTTATTTTTTCTGTGATATCCTAAAAAAGAATGTGGCTCTACTTTTAAATTGAATGTTACGAATGTTTGAATTGGATTATATTCGTTCTCGTTTCACTTTGATACATACATACATACATACACATACATATCTATATATATATATATATATATATATATATATATATATATATATATATATATATATATATATATATATATCGAAGGGATATCTAAATGTTCGAGTAGTTTACAACAATAAGAGGCAAGTACACAGCAAGCTGAAATTTTATGAAATTTTGACAAAGTTAGATCATCGTACTCTCAGAACAAGATGGAGAAATATTAAAAATTAACGTACTTGACAAGTTTCAGCCAGGCGAGGAAGAAATATACGAAAGAAAAAAATGAATGACGTAAAACATCATGTGTTGCATGGAAACAATGAAAATAAAATGTAGATAAACATGAACACACAGGTACATACATTCTGATATGATATTTTACGCCATTGTTCACCGATTACAAGGCTCAACAGCTTATCGGACTTAGAGAATAAAGTGGATTTATGTATGTAAAAATTGTAGATTATTAAAATATACAGGATAGATAACATTTGATCCCGGATATGAAGATGCTACGATTGTTGTAGCTGAGAAAGCATATATCTTGGGAGTATTCTCCACAAATCTGTGGCTTCTGGAAAGAAGCTGTTTCAATAGAACATCCTTCTTACCAATAAAATACGAAGGGAATGTAGATGGTTTGCCTCTGTGATGTGTTTTGGCTGTAATGGTGCTTCGAAAGTTGAAGCGCAATAGATTATTTACTAGTTAAATAGTGATAGATTTGCCATTGGCAGACGACGTTGCCACTGACGGAAAAGGGTGTCGGATAGAAAATAATTAAACGCATAGAAAGTCGAGTAAAAGAAAAAAAACGAAAGTGCATGTGTCGTGTTTTATCACGTAAAATATAGAGTAAAATAATAATAATAACCAAGAACAAATAATTAAGTAATATATAATAATAATGAGAAAAATGTTAGCAAACAACATTATAAAGTAGCAATAAATAAACACATACGGGTAACATAATGATTTCTACACAATCGACTCCAGAATAATTTGAAACATAACTATTACTGCCTACCCAATAAACTTCATGTTACTGCAATAGCCTTTACTACACATAATGCACAATTGGCCAGCATAGATAAATAGTCGTGTCAAGAGAACACACATGACCTGCAGATTGCATTCAAATGAAAGTGTCGCCGCTTAGAGTTGCCACAGGTGTCTTCTTAATACACACACACACACACACAAACACAAACACACGGATAGTATGAAAAAAACAAATACATAGGAAAGACAGGTTTAAGTTCTGTATATTATTCCAGCAGTAATTCATTATTTGATTTAAAAGAAAAAAAGAAAATCCCTTTCAAAGACATGAGGAAATGAAAAATATAAATTTGTCTTGATCCAAGGCGAAGAAACCGGAATGAATATACATATATGTGATCATCTCTAAGGCTTGAGGATTCCGTTCTACAATGGAAATATGTTTTAAAATTATTCTCTTATTTGTGAGAGTGGAACTTCCATCGGTCAAGGAAAACAAAAAGAAAACCAGCACCGGAAGCTCAAAAACCACAATCGATCAAAACGTCGGAAAAAGAGGAAATAAAGAAAATTATAGGGAAAGAGCAGCAAAAATCGATTCGCCTTATTTTCAAAGACAATCTGGAAAGAAATGAAGACAATGGAATTACTTCCGAAGTGCGTCGTTTATTTCTTAGATTCAGACGCTCATAAAAATATCAGGACTGAAGTAGGCCTAAAATAAACTCGACCACCTCCCTCCCCCCCACCCTCACACTCTCTCGATCTCTCTCTCTCATTCTGCACACACAATCTCATGCACAAACGTTAGCGTAACCACACACACACAAAAAACACACACACCTATATATATATATATATATATATATATATATATATATATATATATATATATATATATATATACACATATATATACACACACACATATGACATGAAAGTTAATGAAAGAGATAATGAAAGAGAGGTATAATTTAATCTTTATCATTCGAAATTACCACGTCATTTACTTGTTAGCCCATGGCTAGAAACAGAAAATAATCCCAAAATCGAAGAATCAGAAACGATTCAATTTCTTTAACATCATCCGTAATCAAATAGCATTTTTTTTTCATTCGTAAGGCTTGAGAGGATTTTGACATTATTTGATTTTATTCTGTCTAAAATGCTTGTTCTATTATATTTACCCGTTATACCACGCACACTATATAATGCTATAACTGTTAGCAAGTCAATATCCTGTATCATTATTACTGATAGGGAATTCGTTTCTGCCTTGGCGATAGGAGGGATTGACTCAATTCTGCGATTAATAAACAGCTATAAGTTATAACTAGATTAACCGTTACCTTTATGTTATTTGCAGAAAGAGTACAGAGGCTATACTGCGAAAACTGATTTTGAATTCCGATTAAGGGAGACTTGTTGTCTCATCTCACATTATACATGTGTAGGGAGATAGCAATATTGTGTTCAGTCTAAAGGATCGAAACAAAGATATCTTCAATGCTATACAAATCGGTTTATATAGCATTAAGTGAATGAATATTTTGGTTAGTATCATCAAAATGTTATCCGACACATTATGAACAATGACAAGGTATGCTAAAATGCA